GATGAGATGGTTGGATGGCATCACCGACTCAATGGACATGAGTTTGAGTAAGCTCTGGGAGTTGGTGATGGACAGGGAGGCCTGGTGAGCTGCAGTCCATGGGGTCACAGAGAGTCGGACACGACTGACTGACTGAGCTGAACTGCTGTAATGGAATGAACAGCAGACTAGGAGTAAAGAATCATAGGTTCTAGCTGTTTTTAATCATAACAAATTTTCTAAGAACATTATTAACCTCTTTGGTCCTAAATTTCTTTGTCTTTAAGAAAGACTACTTGATCTCCAAATCACCTTCTTTTTGTAAAATTATAAGTATTTCATATATTATACTGTTAACATTCGTTCACAGATTTACCCTATGTATATAACCTTGAGAGCATCACTTCCAAGCACTTCTGTATACATGATATATTTTTAGTTTTCTGGGATTCTTGCTGAACCTTCACAGAGATATAATAAGTAATTTTAGAGATCTCACAGTGGCAAATGGCCTCAAAGATTCACTGATTCTGGATCTCTCTTAGGAAATGTGCACATCTCTCTACAGGCTCCTGTAATTGTAGGTGTCAGTGTATTTGCAGAGGCAAAATATTTGGAATCCCCATCCACATACTTTTCCTATTCAGTGATTGATAGATGAAATTGGATAGTTAGAGGTGCATCCAGCTGAAATCAGAATGAACTAAGAAGGTTTGTTCATTAAAATGCAAACATACCTGGAAAAGATAACAGCTACAGTGAGAATGAGTTTCTAATCTTTTTCTGGGGAGAAACCTCTTATCTTCAGTAAGAGAATTATAGGCCATATCTGACTCACAATTCAATTTATAGTGATTCACATTTAGATCACTCAACTTTTTATACCCATGTTGTTTATTAGAGCATTTATAACAGAGAATTATCAAATATGCCAGTCATTTCTATTATAAAACACATGAACAAAGTGCTATGGGGACGTGGAGGAATAAAACTTAGCTGGTGAAAGTGAGGCGTGGACACCAGGAATGCCTTCATAGAGGAGAGCTTCTTAAAATTTACTCTTAAAAAACATGTACTGGGAAAATGGGGAGATGTTGGCCAAAGGGTACAAACTTTCAATTATAAGATGAATAAGATCTGGGGATCTAACATAAAGCATGGTGACTATAGTTAATAATGCTGTATTGTATACTTGCTCAAAGAGTAAATCTTAAGCATTCTTACCATACACACTCATACACACTTGGTAACTATAAGGTGATGAATGCACTGATTAGCTTGATTGTGGTAATTATTTCACAACATATATGTATATTAAAGCACCATGTTGAATACCCTAAATATATACACTTTTAACTTACTAGTTATGCCTCAATAAAGTCAGACCAAAAAAAGAAAAAAGAGTACATAGTGACTGAGCAGAGAAATAGGATAAAACTGTCCTAAGCAAAAGACAGTAGAGACAATGGCTTAGAGAGAAGAGAATAAGAGTTAAGGAACAGCATGGCAAGTTTGGGGGAAAGCAAGTTCTGATGAGAAGGAACTAAAAAAGTAGGAAGAAATTAGATTACAAAGGGCCTTATATAACATATCAAGGAGTTTTGAATTTTATCTGGAGTTGTGAGGAATACTACTGAAGAGCTATATTCAGGAATGTTAATATCAAACTTGCCATTTGAACAGATTACTTTGGAATCAAATTGGAAAATGGATGAGAAGATGCTAACTGGGGAAGCAAAGGCTGTTACAACAATCTAGGAAGCTAATAATATAGACTTAAAATGAGAGAAGAGAGAATGGCAAATAAAGGATAGATTCAAGAGGACATAGAGGAAATGAGTATTGTAGTGGTAAAGAAAATAAGTTTAGTAACAGTGATGTTAAATTTAGTAGCAGCAGGTATACATCTGTTGTATGAGTTTGGAGCTCAGGCAAGGTCTGAGTAAAGATATAGATTTAGCAATCACTTAATAGGTGGTACTTGAAACAACTGGTATGCATGAGGTTATCTGAAATAATGTGTAAGATTTGATAAGGGCCAGAGAGAAGCTGAAGAGAAAGTTCATATTCAAAGAATTGACATAGGAAGGAAGCTTACGAAAGAGCCAGCCCAGGAGACAAGGGCCACCCTGTTTATCTGTCTCTCTTGTGCTACACAGTGAGAGCCACAGGGCAGGGTTTCATTTTATTCGTCTTCGCATATCTGGACTTAACACACGACCCAGTATTTAGCAGATTTTTAACAGATACTTGTTGAATAAATTATGTTTCTATATATGGTATTGTTTTCTAAACACCTAACTAAAGTGCCTAGGAGGATTAATTATAATGCTCTTTTGCATTAAAAACCAAGTTTGATCCAGCTCAAAGGCTGAATGAAAACCTAACTATTATTTCTCATCATCATGGGTGGAAACACTTGACAGGAGTTAACCATGCATGAAGAGTTTGCTTACTTATGAGTGACAACTGATTTGATGAACAAATGAAGGAGAAACAAACAATGACAGGAAAAGAGAATCCATCTGACAGTATTATTTTTTCCCTAGAGGAGAAATAGAAACGGCCATTTCCAGTTCTGTTTTTTTCCTTAAAAGTCCTGGAATTTCTGTCTAAATGTGACCTGACATCACAGTGAGAGTCTTTCAAGGACTGATGATAAGAGAAACTACCCTGGTATTACAAGAGGCCAGGTATGGTTAACTTATTTTTATATAATGTAAAGCACTGTTAAATTTTTTCCAACTTAATTTTACATTCATATTTTCTGAAGATGTCTTAGTATTGACTGACATAAAAATATCTAAGTATCTGCATATAATAACAGAAAGAAACCATTTCATTAAAATTGATTTCTGAAATCACACAGCTAATTTCTAATTCCCCACTTTAGTTTTACTATCTTTATTTCCTTTAATGAAGAATAAAACAGAAACAAAAGAATAGGTTTAAACCTAATGACATACATGTCTAAAAGGATGTAAGTCAAAGAAGTAGGACAGGTGTAAATTAAAGCAATTTTTGCCTAAGTACAGCCAGAGACCAAAGAGCTAGCATTTGGCATTTAATGTTTCACTAGCTTTAGGCCTTTTAACATAATTTTATCTACTGTTATTTTCTATATTTTAATATTGGCAGAAGAGCCAATAAGAAGAACGTTGAGCTTTTTTCTTTTTTCTCTTTTGGCTGCGCCACACAACTTGCAAGATCTTAGCTCCCTGACAGGGACTGAACCTGGGTCACCTGAGTGAAAGTGCCGAGTACTAGCCACTGAACTGCCAGGGAATTCCCAAGAACATTAAGTCTTGAGTCTTTTTTTTTTTTAATATTTATTCATTTATTTGGCTGCACCAGGTCTTAGTTGCAGCATGTGGGATCTAGTTCCCTGCCCAGGGAACGAACCTGGGTCCCCTCCATTGGGAGCTCAGAGTCTTAACCACTGGGCCAGCAGGGAAGTCCCTAAGTCTTGAGTCTTAATTCCATTCCTTTTCTGCTGTTTCAAGTTTTCTTGTAGAAAAATTAGGGTGTTTGTGGTGGGAATGCAAATTAGTACAGCCACTATGGAAAACAGTGTGGAGATTTCTTAAAAAGCTGGAAATAGAACTGCCATATGACCCAGCAATCCCACTTCTGGGCATACACACTGAGGAAACCAGATCTGAAAGAGACACGTGCACCCCAATGTTCATCGCAGCACTGTTTATAATAGCCAGGACATGGAAGCAACCTAGATGCCCATCAGCAGACGAATGGATGAGGAAGCTGTGGTACATATACACCATGGAATATTACTCAGCCATTAAAAAGAATTCATTTGAATCAGTTCTAATGAGATGGATGAAACTGGAGCCCATTATACAGAGCGAAGTAAGCCAGAAAGATAAAGACCATTACAGTATACTAACACATATATATGGAATTTAGAAAGATGGTAATGATAACCCTATATGCAAAACAGAAAAAGAGACTCCGATGTATAGAACAGACTTGTGGACTCTGGGAGAAGGCGAGGGTGGGATGTTTCAAGAGAACAGCATTGAAACACATATATTATCTAGGGTGAAACAGATCACCAGCCCAGGCTGGGTGCATGAGACAAGTGCTCGGGCCTGGTGCACTGGGAAGACCCAGAGGGATCGGGTGGAGAGGGAGGTGGGAGGGGGGACCGGGATGGGGAATACATGTAAATCCATGGCTAATTCATTTCAATGTATGACAAAAACCACAGCAATGATGTAAAGTAATTAGCCTCCAACTAATAAAAATAAATGAAAAAAAAAATAGATGTTCTCTAATATCATTGAAATTTGAATATTTTATGATCTATGAATAAAGTCCTTTATTTGTAAAATCAATACTTCTGCACTGTTTTTATTTGTACAACAAAAACAATTTAGAAACTACATTTTATTCAGACTGCACCTGACTGGATTTTTAGAAAGGGAAGTAGCTGATTAAAAACTGGAAACACTGGGGAATACTACCTTTCCATTATCTTTCCACAAGCTAGTCTCAATGTGCTACTAAACTAAGAGCAGAAAATGAGAGGATAGATGAAGCAGAAAAACTGAGACCAGACTGGCTGCTCAGTGATCCACAGATTAATTAATTACTGTAGTATTTACATTTAAAAACATGGTTTTCATAAATGAAAATAATTACCAGACACATTAGTTACCTCTCACTTCTATCAGAAAGGACATAAGGCAGACCACAGTCAACTATTCTCCTCACTCAGTGCTGACAGCCCTCTCTTGAGAGTATTGATATTTTGATGAATAGGAGAAACACAGTCGAATTTTTCCTTTTTTTTAATGTAAAGGAAGATTTATGAGTATTTTACTCTGTATACTGTTAAGATTGATCCTAGAGTTGAGTAGAAATGAGAAGTGAAAAGAAAGATGGTAATAACTGTGATCATGGTTAATAACATTTCTTTTTCAGGGAAACTGTATTAGTGTTAGAGTAATCTTGTTTGGAAAAGGATGAAAAGAAAAGGCAATGGGTAAATATAACAGTACCTCGGTAGTTGATAATTTCTGTCCCAAGCACCGGAGTCATCTCCAGGACTGTAATAAAGGCTTTGTCCATAGATGTCAGAGGAAAAGGAGACATGCGGTGTCTTCTAGCCACCTTGGTGATATCGACAGCACTGTGACCTAAACAGGAAGATAAGCAACTAAGAATATGATGCTGAAACCTGATTACAAAGTGGGAATGGCTTATAGACAACAGTAATTCTCAGTCTTCATTTCATATGCCCAGAAATGAAGGTTACAGGGGGAAAAATTTTCTGTTGCTCCCCAAATATAGCCTGCTTTGGCAGAACATTAAATTGTTAGTAATTTTTTATCATGTAGCAAAAGCTGGTAAAGTTTAATGATGATACTGGCTAATTTTTTCTCAGTGCTTACTATGTGTCATGGCACTATTCTAATTAAGCTTCACAACAACCTAAAGGGAGGTATCATTATTATCCTTATTTACAGATGAGGAAAATGAAGTTTACATATCTTGGCCTAAATTGCAAAGACAGAAAACAAAGAGCTAGGATTCAAACCTAGGTAGCCATGCTTTAGAGTCCATGTCCTTAGTTACTACACTGCACTTTGAATACTCAATGAGCCAGTTAGTGAAAAGAAATATACAAGTTTAAATTTATTTAGAATTTCATAGGAAATTCTCTTTCTTCTAAAAAAGTCATAGAAAAATATTATTATCTAGTTATATACTCCCAATGTAACCCTATCTAGTGTCATGGCATTAATATTACCCATATACTAAAACTCCTAATTTTGTATCTTCAACCCCAACCTCTACCTTCACCTCAGGTTTATATGTCATCCAAATAGTTGGTGGATAAGAGTATGTATCTACAAATGTATAAATCATCAAACATGCACTTGAGTGTGCAACAGGCAACTCAAACCTAGCATGTTCAAAATCAAACATTTGATTCCCCATCCTCCTAACCTACCTACACGATGTCTTATTCTCTTGCAATTCCCATCTTGGTAAATAGAAACTCCATTCATTAAGTTATTAATCCAAAACCTTGGTGACATCATTGATTTTTCTATTGTTATCAGAACCATATCTAAACTACCATTAAAATGTCTCTAAATCCCATCATTACTCATCATCTCTATAATTACTACAATAGTTGGGACCATCATTTATTTCCCGGGATACTGAATAGGGTCCTAACTGGTCTCCCTGCTACTATCCTTGTCCCATTATAATTTATTCTCCACACAGTAGTTAGATAGTCCTTTTAAACTGTAAGATGAATTGTATTCATCTCTGCTCACAACCCTCCAATGACTGTACAATTCACTCAAAGTAAACTCTTTGCTATGGTCTACAAAACCCAACATACAATCTACACTGTTCTCTTATCACTTCGCCCTTGTCAGGGTAGTCATACTGATTCCTCGCCTGAGAAAGCCAAATACGTTTCTCTTGAGGGTCTGCATACTTGCCGTTTCCTCTACTTGGACATTCTTTCCCAGATATTATGGTTCCATTCATCCCTCATTTCTTTCAGGTCTTTGCTAAAATATCACTTCACCAGAGGCCTTTGCTAAACATCCTATAAAGAATATTACCTACTATCATTCTTTATTCTCCTTACCTATTTTATTTTTCTTTGTGAAAAAAACATATACACACATATATGGATATTCATATCTATATACTTATACATTTATAACCTTCTAATGCAAGCTTCATGACAGCAGCAACTTTATCTTCTTTAGTCAGTGTTGTTATCCTCAATACCTGGAACAGTATCTGGTACATACTAGACAATAGTTTTTGAATTAATGGATGTATCATTTAATGACAGAAAGGGACTTCTTAGAGTACAGTATCTTCATGCATAAGTATACCTGGCCTTTTCTTTGAAATCTTAAGTCTATAGCTCAAAGGGTTAACATAAAAGGAGTAACTGCAAACACTGTTGCTTGGCTATCCTAACTAATATCCACAATTCACTTCTTCTGCACCTAAGACTGGCCATATAATATGTTTATGGCCACCTAAGTTCTGGCCAGCAAGATGTAGGAAGTAGTCCCTGGGGGCAGGCTTCCTACTACAAATAAAAAGATAAAGAGGTAAAACTTTAAGAGGAGAACATAACTAGCTATTGGGAGGTGCCACAGTCATTTTCAACTATGAAACTGGAAACCCATAGAGTACGTGTGGGAAACAAGGAAAGGAAAAGAGTCAGAATCCCTGATGACAGTGTTGAGCTACTGTACAAACCCTGGACTGCCTGCCTCCAGACTTTTGATATGTGAGACAAATAAGCTCCTATTTCTTAAGGGGGCAACAGAGGATGAGACAGTTGGATGGCATCACAGACTTAATGGCCATGAGTTTGAGCAAATTCTGGGACATAGTGAAGGAGAGGGAAGGCTGGTATGCTGCAGTTCATGGGGTCACAAAGAGTTGGATGTGACTGAGTGACTGAACAACAATGACTGTATATAACCCTCAGAAGTCTGTAAGTTCCTGGTCATTGTAATTTATTTAATTTAGTCCTCCCATCCCACCTCAGAGGCTACTTCAGATATATTCATTGAACTTACAGGGACTGTCCCATACTTTTCATTCTAAGACAAATGACATTGTCATAAGTAGTCAAAGAAAAGACATACAATATACTTATACGTATTTCTCATCCATGGGCAATCATGAAATTACAAAATTTTTAAACCTTAAGGACCTTAGAGATTATTTAGTGCTAAATATGAAAAAAATTTCTACTTCAAGGTGAACACTTAGAGAAGGATTTTGTGTGATTAATCATTTACCTCCAATTGAACTTTAAATTTATTCACAACTTTCACTGAAGTTCTTGTTTTGTCATTAAATAGCATCAATACATATTGTCACAACCAGTATAATTGAAAAGCATGATAGATGCTTCTGCACTTTATTCAGATTTATAAATCTCAGATCTGGTCTTTTCTAAGATATTCTTTACTCTCTTTATGGTGAAAATTATGTATAATCTTATAAGAGCTTTTTTTTTTTTTTTAAAGTTTGGTTCTGAGGGGAAAATTACACTTTTTAACTGTACAGAGGTTATTTGTTGAATGTGCTTTGTAATGGAATTTTTCTTAGAAGAAACAAAGTTTGATTATCAGTGATACACACATCCATTCAACAAATATTTATTGAGTGTATTTTATGAGCCAGGCACAGTTATGTAGTCAGTCTACACAGACTAAGATACAACCTGCGATGAAGAACGTTTCAGCTCAGCCGAAAGGAAAGATGTGTAAGTAAATAAAAAATAAAGACAGGAGGATATAAAACCACCTGACTGTTCTCTAGAGGTTGGTATTTTTTTTTTATTGAAAACTGCATACCAATTTCCATTAACTTGGAAAAATATTTCCTGTCTTTATAATAATTTTGTACTTGCTTTTATTTTTCTTATGGCATGTACCATTTTCCATCTTATGGTATAGACATTTAAGTATTTGCCCTGATTATGTTCAGTTCAGTTCAGTCGCTCAGTCGTGTCTGACTCTTTGTGACCCCATGAACCGCAGCACACCAGGCCTCCCTGTTCATCACCAACTCCCGGAGTTTACTCAAACTCATGCCCATCGAGTCGGTGATGCCATCCAGCCATCTCATCCTCTGTCGCCTCCTTCTCCTCCTGCCCCCAATCCCTCCCAGCATCAGGGTCTTTTCCAATGAGTCAACTCTTTGCATGAGGTGACCAAAATATTAAGAGTTTCAGCTTCAGCATCAGTCCTTCCAATGAACATCCAGGACTGATCTCCTTTAGGATGGACTGGTTGGATCTCCTTGCAGTCCAAGGGACTCTCAAGAGTCTTCTCCAACACCACAGTTCAAAAGCATCAATTCTTCGGTGCTCAGCTTTCCTCACAGTCCAACTGTCACATCCATACACGACCACTGGAAAAACCATAGCCTTGACTAGACGGACCTTTGTTGACAAAGTAATGTCTCTGCTTTTTAATATGCTATCTAGGTTGGTCATAAGTTCCCTTCCAAGGAGTAAGCGTCTTTTAATTTCATGGCTGCAATCACCATCTGCAGTGATTTTAGAGCCCCCAAAAATAAAGTCTGCCACTGTTTCCACTGTTTCCCCATCTGTTTGCCACAAAGTGATGGGACCAGATGCCATGATCTTAGTTTTCTGAATGTTGAGCTTTAAGCCAACGTTTTCACTCTCCTCTTTCACTTTCATCAAGAGGCTCTTTAGTTCCTCTTCACTTTCTGCCATTAAGGGTGGTGTCATCTGCATATCTAAGGTTATTGATATTTCTCCCGGCAATCTTGATTCCAGCTTGTGCTTCTTCCAGCCCAGTGTTTCTCATGAGGTACTCTATCTATAAGTTAAATAAGCAGGGTGACAATATACAGCCTTGTAGTACTCCTTATCCTATTTGGAACCAGTCTGTTGTTCCATGTCCAGTTCTAATTGTTGCTTCCTGGCCTGCATACAGGTTTCTCAAGAGGTAGGTCAGGTGGTCTGGTATGCCCATCTCTTTCAGAATTTTCCACAGTTTATTGTGATCCACACAAAGGCTTTGGCATAGTCAATAAAGCAGAAATAGATGTTTTTCTGGAACTCTCCTGCTTTTTCGATGATCCAGCGATGTTGGCATTTTGATCTCTGGTTCCTCTGCCTTTTCTAAATCCAGGTTGAACATCTGGAAGTTCACAGTTTATGTATTGCTGAAGCCTGGATTGGAGAATTTTGAGCATTACTTTACTAGCGTGTGAGATGAGTGCAATTGTGTAGTAGTGTGAACATTCTTTGGCATTGCCTTTCTCTGGGATTGAATGAAAACTGACCTTTTCCAGTCCTGTGGCCACTGCTGAGTTTTCCAAATTTGCTGGCATATTGAGTGCATCACTTTCACAGCATCATCTTTCAGGATTTGAAATAGCTCAACTGGAATTCCATCACCTCCACTAGCTTTGTTCGTAGTGATGCTTTCTAAGGCCCACTTGCCTATGTTAGCCTATGGTAAATTCCTTGGAGGCAGAAGCTGTATCTCGTTAATCTGTGCATCTTTTGCCACTTTTAGAGTTGTGCTTTCCTCACAGTAGATACTGAATAGATACTTGAGGTATGAATGAATGGGGCTTCCCTGGTGGCTCAGACAGT